TGGTTGATACTCCACTTTTTTAATACAAAGCCAAGGGATGTCATCTCCCTGTGGTGGATCTTTTTTATTAATATTGCATTTCCAGATCTCTCTCTCCAACTCTCTCTCATGCAGCTTCTTTGTTATTTGCAGGTACGAAGGAAGATGTGGCCTTCCTACTAATTTTGATTCTAACTATTGCTATGCATTAGGCTATGGTGCTGGTGCCCTTTTCCAAAGTGGGAAGACAGGACTTATTTCATCGGTATAACTATTGATCTTATCATCTTATGTGACATAATCAAATGAGGCATACTTGCACTGTACCTTGTAATATGTGAGGAGCTCTCTGGCACAGAAAAGATAGGCACCAGTGTTCAAATTATGTAAACATCACCATCCCAATATTCAAAGTTGCCTAGCAAATTTTTACATTTGGTTTCACCTTGCGCTGTGAAGTGGTAACAGCTACAAAGTCATGGCATGTAGACACATGAGAAATTCGCAAACAGACACCTACAGTATTAGGAGTTTCTGGGAGATCTTTTATAATGTGATTGTGGCTGATCTTGTGTACTTGCATGATTTGACCGCTGTCTCTTTTTTTTTTTTCTTGGCTCAGGTTGGCAACCTTGCGGCTCCAGTAGAAGAATGGACTGTTGGTGGAACAGCATTGACATCATTGATGGATGTTGAGAGGAGGCACGGTAATTTTCTTGCCTCACCTTGTTTCCAACTGATGGCTACGATACTTTGTTCTAGTAACATTCTTCTTGATGTTTATTCAAGTAGCAACCAATGTGTGACATGCTAGTCTTGTTCCCATTTGGGTTGATTAGCATTTCTATTTTGGCTATAATTTGTGCTGCCTCATTTGTCACTTCGAGTGTAACCTTTGCATTTGTTCTCTGCGATCAGGCAAGTTCAAGCCAGTGATCAAGAAGGCTATGGTGGAACTTGATGGTATGAAGAACTCTGGAATGTTTGCTTGATTTACTGATGATTATGACATTTTTTTTATGGTTTATTTATATCTTTTTTCCAAATCTGATATCATGTGACGTCAATTTCCAGCTGCACCTTTCAAGAAATATGCATCAATGCGGGATGAATGGGCCATCAAGAACAGATACATCAGCCCTGGTATGTGGAAATGAAATTGCTAGCAATGATCATCCAGTTTAGTCTATAGTGGCCCCCGTACATACAGTTTAACTCACATATCGTTGTCATGACAGGCCCCATCCAGTTCAGTGGCCCTGGAAGTGATGACTCGAACCACACTTTGATGCTGGAACTCGGTGCTGAGTTATAGAGATGCGTCCTTTACTTATTTTTGTTCTTACAGTTTTGGGAGTGGAGACTGGACACTGGGTCTCCTGGAGCAGCCTGTAGTCTCCATATTGTGATTTGTTAAATAAGAGGTTCGATGGAAGTTTTCTGCGTAGCGGACTGGATGTGGTAGCAAATAAGAACTGGTTTTTTTTTTTTTTTTTGAATGACTACATGTCGTGTAGCCCTGATTCTGTTCCCCTGGTTGCAGTCTCGTGAGAATGAACAAATGAAATTGAGCCATGAGACCGATTCGGTTTGCTTGCTTCTGGTAGCAGATTATTTTCTGAAGTCCATTGGTAATGTGTCCCTATTGAAGATGCTTTGTAGCTGCAGGCGTACTTTATTTGTTGGGCGTGGCCAGTGTCTGGACGTCCGCGCGTGACACCTGCGCAGCCTGTCCCTGTCCGTTTCGCCCTGCCCTTGTCGATGTGCCCGCGGCTTCTCTCCTCGTGGGTGGGACCCGGGAGTCAGGATGAGGATGAGCACGCCCGCTCATAAGACCCTAGGTGCGCCACGCCCCCTGACTGCAGCCCCTAGCGTGCCCCATCCTCGGTGCTGAGCTGTGCTCCATGACTCTCTAAAAACATCTCTGAAACATGAAACATTGTAGCATGAAACACTTTACAACATACGTCTGAAGTAGATAAAACATTTGGAACATACACTTGAAACATATATATATATATATATATATATATATATATATATGAAACAAATGCAACATCTAGATAAAACACTTGCAACATGAAAGTATTTACTGCAACATAAGACAAACAACTGAAATCATTGGAACATACTCTTGCAACATGTATAAAACATATGCAACATCCAAATAAAAAACGCTTGCAAACATACGTCTAAAAAGATGAAACATTTTGAACAAATGTTTGCAATATGACTTTGAAACACTTGCAAAATATGCAACATCTCGATCTACTTTTACAGTATCCACATGAAATACTTGTAACATACCTATGAAACATCTGAAACACTTGAAACATAGGCTTGCAACATGCATTTTTCACCCTTTTTCCGTACGACGCAGCTTAGTGTAGGGGAGCGGCTGGTTCCGGCTAATCGGCGGCCGAGGATGGTGGCGTGGCCAGCTGCGCCTGCGCTTGGCCTGGGCCTGGACAGCGACGACCCCCTCTCCTGGCGGTCTATCCTAGGTGCGGCAAAGGACGGAGCACGGCATGGGACAGAAGTGCCGCGAGAGATGGGGGCGCGAGGGATGGCGGCGGTGGCGCACTGGAGTGGGTCGTGACGCGAGATGGAGGCGCCACGAGGGATGGCGGCGGCACGGCAGACTGGGGCGGACGACCAGGGCGTGCAGTGTGGAGTGGGGAGATTTGATTGTATTTTTCCGGGTCCGGACGGACGGACCCCGAGCCTGAGCATTAGCGTATTTGTTAGCCAATTTCACTGTATAAAGGACTGTACGGAAAGTTCCATGAACGAATCCTGAAAATTACTAAGTTTGTAGCAGTTTGGTTGGGCCTAAAAAGAAATCCTATATCCAACATGGATGAAATTCAATATGTTCTTGATTGTCCTAAGAAAAAAAAAGATGATGGGCAATTCAGAATTGTACCATTGTCCTTGCTCAAATGTGTAAACGCGTGACCTTCTCTTTGTAGGACATGTTAAGGGCTAGCTAACAAATTAGACAAAATTAGCTATAGTACATTCAAATATGAGAGTTAATAAGTGAGCTAATTCTTGAACCAAGTTTTCAACTAGTTATTAGCCAACTAGCTAGCCTACCTCAGCTAATTTAGGCTAATTTTTAGTCATAACTAGTAACTACTCGTGTATCGAACAGACTCGTAATCTTGTCAGTTACTTTCTTCGTTCCAAAATACTTGACCTTATAACATTCAAATTTGTCATAAAATAGTTGTCATTCTCACTTTTCGATGCATCTTTCTCTTTTTTCAAATACACATGTTTTTTCTCAATACATCTTTATCTCTATTTTTGGAATAGAGGGAGTACATATAAGGCCTTTTACCTTGAGCATCAGTATCTGTGATAGATCCTAAAATGTCCAGTGTTCTGGAATAGAGGGAGTACATGTCAGTACATCATACTATTGACAAAACCATTCACATATACTCCTATGTGCGCATACATGTCTGGTAAAAGAATGTACTCCTAAAAAAGTTGGAGGCGCAGAAGTTTTTAGGTAGAACATGTGCTTGCGACCTTGCGTGTCATAGGTTGTTTGGTGTCGCTTTTTTTCTTGGATCATGGCTCTCGATTCCAGACATCTACTCCACTCTATTGGCGTATGCTCGCTCCCTTTATTCCCCAACTTATTTATGGCTTGTATATGGCTTTGAGCCGTGATCGACGAGGAGTGATGACGTGCTCTCTTCTCCCATTTTTTACGTCACCTTCCACCCATCTCTCAGGGGTTAGCCCCCCTCCTAAAGTTTAGTAAGCTAAGGGGATGTTTGTTCTTTAGTTGCTCCTAAAATTCACATCGAATATTTAGATGCTAATAAGAAGTATTAAATATAGATTAATTATAAAACTAATTACATAAATAGAAGCTAATTTCTGAGACGGTTTTTTAAGCCTAATTAATGTCATTAGCACATGTTTACTGTAGCAACACGTTGTCAAATCATGAACTAATTAGGCTTAAAAAATTCGTCTCGTAAATTAGTCGTAAGTTATGCAATTAGTTTTATAAATAGTCTATATTTAATATTCCATACATGTGTCTAAACATTCGATGTGATATAAATTTTAGGAGGAGGTGTAGTAACCAAACAGGCCCTAAATCTAGTCTTGTTTTAGTCACTTTTCACCCGAACACTACGACTAAATGAGACTAAATGAGCTTTATAGCCAACTAGTCATCAAAATGTTGCTAAAAGAGACTAAACCTCACCCTTTAGTCACATTGAACCAAAAACCCTTTAGTCACCCAAACCAAATACCCAGTTTAGTCTCATTTAGGTGACTAAAGTTTACGAGAGAGAAACCAAACATAGCCTCACTGGACCTTATCATGTCTATTTTTTGCCAACTCATCAGCAACCTTATAGGAGACAAGAAAGCATGTGCTTAACTTACCTTCGCCAGTTCAGCTTGTACACATGCCTTCTGTGGCCAGCCACTGAGCCACGTGCACTTGAGCCGCTGGCGCCGGAGTGATCGATAAGGATCAACATTCAGCAACAATATACCGATGTGGCTCCGTTCGGTTTTGCATTGGAGTCGTCCAAACTCCAGTGCCTGGCACCCGTCCAGGAAGAAGGAAGCACACAGTAACTGGTGTGTACCTATATATAATACATATTCCTATCACTATCAGTCACCCACTCACCCAGCACATACGCCAACAGGTAATAATACATACATCAAAGTCATAGCCTCACAGGAGACAACAAAACACTAGCAGTAACAGAGTATGTATATTCTACAAGAGTTGATAGTAGCGCACACTTTAAATTGCAACATGTATTCCTTGGCTTCTGCCTCCCCCCTCTTGTGTTTACACTGTTACATTACATTGCGCGAAACTTACACTGGATTGGATCAAATCTGCGAAAAAACAAGCATTTCATCCAGTGGATGCTGGATACATCATGTAATGTAACCAGGGGACGGAGGGAGGGAAAGATTCACTAGTAACCATTGCTAGGATTTGATCCCTCAGGCAGTCAGGCACCTCATCAAGTGTCCAGGTAGTTTGCGGCCATCATCAGCTCCAGGGTGATCTCTGGTTCGATCTGAAATTCAGCTGTCTCCTTCCCACTACAAAACCGAACGAAATTGAGATTCAGTCAACAAACCAACAACCCCAAGGGAATGCAGGAGAGGCTGCTAAGCATATAATCATCCATCTCTCATTGCAACATTGTAGCAACATCTGCTTTCACATTTCCATAGTAAACAGGAACAGTCAAGGCACGGGGGTCTACTAATCCCATAGAAAGTTTGTTGTACAAGGCAATGCATAATATACAATAGAACACAAACTAAAGTTCAGTTTACTAACTAGCAAACAAATAACAATAAAAAAAGGGCGTACCCAGTGCTGAGAGCTCCCGCTCTGTGCGGGGTCTGGGGAAGGGTGTTAGTGGCAAGCCTTACCCTCGCCTGTGCAATGCGAGGAGACCGCGACTCGAACCCGGGACCTTCCGATCACAGGCGGTAAGACTCTACCGCTTGCACCAGGCCCGCCCTTCAGCAAACAAATAACAATGTGGACACCAAAATCAGAACAATGAATTTACTTTAGCTGCACACCAATTAAGTTCAGGGTTGGAAGCCACCTCATATTTTCCACCAACAAGAATCCTAGGAACTAACATAGGGAGTTCGAGTTATCTCCACGTGCTCTACTGCTCTTCAAGTTTTGGTAATCAACTGAACATTGAATGTGATGTAGTCCCTACTGTCTTATTCTCCATGTCTGACTCCCTCACATCAAAATTCTGGACCATACAACTCTTCAATGGGACATCCAAAGTGTTGAACTAAGAGCTACAAATGAAGCATGGACACCATTATTATATTTGACGAAACTCTTGATTGACACTACCCTGGCAACTAGACTAAACAGGTCCACCAGGCAGGAAACAACAAAACTACATTCTCAGCGATATGCAGTTATCATCAGATCAACTAATCATCACCAAGGCAGCCAGACTTTAACTCAATCACTAATAAATGGGTACTAAGTAATGACTCTTTACTAGGCAAAGGGATGGACAAGACAAACCAGTAAAGTAATTAGGAGGCTTACACACTTCTAAAATCTTACCTTGCCAGCATTAAACTATCCAATTGGGCTCAAGTTTAACATTTATGAACATATCCCATGACAATGGTAGAGCCAGTAAACTAGGGCAAATTTGCATGACCAGTAAGAAAGCAACCTACCAACGTAGAAGAATAAAGCGTGCAAAACCATCAAGGTGTCCATGTTTGATGAATATTAAGCAAAAATGGTAATGACTACTAGTCCCATAGAAGTTTGTTGTACAAGGCAATGCACACTATACAATGAAATATGAACTCTGCTAAGAGGGAAATAAATAACAATACAGACACCAAAATCAGAACAAGGATTTTCACTTCAAAAGCCCACCAATTAAGTTCATTCTTAGCCATCGAATATCTTCCACCAACAAGAACCCTATTGCTTTTTTATGGTGCGGTGAAAGAAAGAGAGAGAAAAGATCCCCACATGATCCATTAGTTAGCAGAGCTGTTTGGCAGCATGGAAAACATAGTTCAACAGTTTGGCAAAACATGATAGTGAACCCTACGTACCAACATACATAGTTTGTTCAAGTTATCTCGACATGCGCTTCAAGTTTTGTTAATCATCGCAGGTAATTTAGTCCTCACGGCCCTATTGTCCTTGTCTGACTGCCTCACACCAAAATTAACATCATCTGGACCATATGACTCTTAAACAGAAAAAAAAAATCGAAGTGCCAAATAAACAGCTAAAGGAAGCACATGTGCCCTTAAATTTGATGATATTTTTAACTAGCATCACCATGTGATTCTTGAGTGAAGAGGCCCATAAGGCAGTAAACACCAAAGATCACATTCTCGTGGCATGCAGTTTTGCCATCACATGATTCACTATATGTGTTACCAAGACAACCAGGTTTGAATTCATTCTTACTGAGCCTTAATTCTTTACTAAGCAAAGGGATGGATAAGTCAAATGGGTAAAGTAACTACAATGGCTTACAACTTGTAACAGTACACACAACTGAAATCTTACCTTTTGCCAAAATTAAACAACAATCTAATTAGGCTTATGTTCAATGCTTGGTACAACCAGTAAACTAGGAGAAATTTGTATGAACAGTGAACCACCAGTGCAGAAGAACAGTAAAGAAAGGCAAGACAAAATGCAATCGGCTCTGCATACTCTGTATAGAGCACACTAATCACTGTAGAGTGGACTTACTCCCTCCGTCCCTTAATGTCCGTCGTTCTAGAAGGAGAGCGGTGTCCCTTAATGTATGTCATTGGGCTAGCGACGCGAGTTCCACACATAGGTGCAGACTCCCACCATGTAAAGCCTCGTCGCCTGCAGCAGCCTTATCCGTTCACCACTTCCCCCTCACACAACCGCACAGGCCGGGTACTTCGTAAAAAAAAAAATTCACCGATCCCCAATCTCGCCCTCTTCGACCGCATCCTCGTCGGTCTTCTGTCGCCCCATCCGCATCCGCATCGTCTCCGGTCGCTGCATCCTCGTCGCCGCTCGCCCCATCCTCGTCGCCAGTTGCCCCATCCGCATCGTCGCCGATCGCTGGGCCGCGGGAAGCGGGAGCGCAGGCTCACTCGTGCAGCGGCACACGGCGTCCACCGCCTCCTCTGGCCCGGCCCCTCCCTTGCATCCTGCGCCGGGCCAGGGGAGCCGGGAACGCAGGCCCTTCCTCCATGTGACGTCGCCAAGACTCATCAAGGGTGGAGCACGGCTTCCGCGCCGACCTGCAGAGGCTCGTTGCTCCTCGTCGACGCTGCCCTCTGCTGTCGTCGTGCCGCCTCCCACAACCTTGCCTCCTACCAGGTGAAGGCGGAGCGGGGCTGGATCTGAGGGCCTGTGCTGAGGACCCTCAAGTTCCGTCAAGTTCTGAGGGCCAAAAAGTTGATGTGACAACTGTGTTTTGTTTACTGTAAAAAAATGTTTGTGTGTGGCATGCCTGCTTCTAATCCAAGAATGAGCATTAATGACCTGTCCATTCGCAGCAGGTGAATGTACTGTACTCCGTATTTTATAGGGGTGTTCAGGTGTGTCGCTAGGTTCCTTAATTCCTGAGCCAAAATCTAGAACGACGGACATTAAGGGACAATCTAGAACGACGGACATTAAGGGACGGAGGGAGTAAACACTAAGCTCCCTGTGAACAGTTAGGTAGCAAGATGGAATAACATTCTAAAAGCAGATTAATAGTTGCTGTGTTAGAAGGTAAAATTCTAAATTCTCGCGCTTGGTGTGTTCTAAACCACTGAACAATGACATAAAAGACAGAACAATGATGCATGCTACAAAACATGGTAAGTTCTTGTCATTGTTCTGATGGGCCGTGTGTCAATTTCTTGTGGATATAATTGCCAAGGAGAATATGTGAACTCTGACAAAGAGCCATAGAATGATGGAAGTTGCTGGTTCTTACTAGATTATTAGATGCAAACAGTTTGTTTTACCCTAAATACTAATTGTGGACAGCAGGACTAAGGAGAGTAAAACCAAATCCATCGGAGAGCCCTTTGCTCTGAATATTTAGAAACTAGTATAAGAATTTATTACAGGTTACAAAACTAATGCAGAACTTGTAAATAAATAATGGCGGCAGAGGGAGAACTGAAAAACACAGAATAATATGTAACGTAGTACAGATTCTAAATAGCATCAATCAATAGCAGATCTCGCTGGTTAAGCAAACTGTGAATGGCTGCCTAAAAGTAACAAGCGGGTTATTGCCTTATCGGTTAAAAGCCTGAAAGGGGAAAAGGGATGACGATTGTCGAAAGTGGAAAGTAAGCATAGGAACCTGGAGTAATGGAGCGACCAGTAGAAATACTGGCAGATCTTCTCGAGGATGTGGGAGGGGATCTCCGGGAAGCGGACCTCGCCCTGGCGCGTCTCGGAGAAGCCGCCTGGTGAGGATGACGAGAGGGATGGATCTGATGCGATGCGATGCGATGCGAGGACGGCGCGCTGATGGAACGGAAGAGGTGATGAAGGGTACCCTACCTGGCGATGTGAGCATGTTGCGGAGGGTGTTGGAGACCATGGCGGCCTTCTTGTCGACGACGAATTCGAAGCCCTCGGTGCTGATGAGCTTGACGACGCCTGCGGTGTCGTCGTCGTCCTCCTCGTGGGGCTGGTGGTGCTCACGCGGCGGAGGCATCCTGCGACCTGCGACGGATTGGATTGGGATTGAGGTTGGTGTGGGTTCCTCTGTTGATTTGCTCTCACAAGTAGCGGATTAGGTTAAGCTATCGATCATCCAATGAAGGAAATCCGATGTACAGGTATGATCATTTATTGTTGGTTGCGTACATAACACGGCTGTACATACATACACCCAAAATAACTTTTGCCAAAAAAAATCAATTTTATGTAATTAGATCAGATCCAAATACAAATACCTATAAATAGATTTAAGTTAGCGTGCAGGTGCTCGGTTTCCGATGGTCTAGAACCGGGCACGTGACGTAGGGCGGCGGCGGCGGTCGCCCAGTTGCGCCACAAACGTGGGGGGAGAGAGAGAGAGAGAGAGCGCGCGCACGCCGCCCGCAAGGTGAACGGGAAGGAGCCGGCTCCCAGAGGGAGAGGAACGTTGGTTTTTTTTTTCTTCCAGAAAAGCATCTACATTAAACACCACTCAGGCAAATCGCCTTTTACAAGGTCCATTACATATGAAGGTACTTGGCTCATTAACATATCTGAGCCAGACTCCAACACATAAGCTTCGTAGAGAGCTAAGCAATCTGCCACCTCATTACAATTTCTATTACATAACGAGACAGTACAGGAAGAAAACTCGGATTGCATAACATCTCGTATCTTGAAGACCAGAGCACCTATGCTGCTTCGGTCTACACTTGACGACTTGAGGGCAGCAACTAACATTGTGGCATCCATTTCCAAGACAATTTGCGACATTCCCAATTGTGCGACCTGAAGTACACCTTTGTAGGCCACAATTACTTCAGTATGCAATACCGATGAAACATAAGAAATATTCCCTGCACCAGCTGCTAGCACTTCCCCATTGTTGTTCCTTATCACAAAGCCCCATCCTCCAGATCTTTTAGTTGGGTCAAATGATCTATCAGAATTAATTTTGTAAATATCCTCTTGTGGAGGTCTCCATGTGCACTGAGCTGCACACGTTATTTTCTTTTCATTCCCATGAAGCTTTTCAAATTCCATCAGGTGGTACAATACAGAGCCACAAATCTCATTCACACTCGGCATCCTCCCACCATCATTAGCCCTGTTTCTTGCCGACCACCATCTCCAAAGCAAGACAAAAACATTTAGTTGTATATTCTTCTCCAATTCCCATATCTTACTAATTACTTCAATTCTAGATTGGCAAGACACCAATTCAGTTCTGATATCATCCATATTTAATAAGCGCCAACACAACTTTGCATACTTACATTTAAAGAAGAGATTCCCACAATCCTTGTCAAGCCTTTTACAAACTGGGTAGATGGTATCTCATTCTACACCACGCCTGGCTACATTTCTTCTAACAGGAAGGCTATTATGTGCTAGGTGCCATATAAACAATTTGATTTTGTTAGGGATTTTGAGTTGCCATATCTTAATCCATTGGAAATCACCTTCATACCCATTTGCACATCCAGAACTAGAAGCGTCCCTTCCTGTAAGAGCATCTCTTCTCGCGATGGCTAGCTTGTAAGCTGATTTGACTGAAAATAATCCGTTCGCATCAAAATACCAAGCGGGCCAATCCTGCATATGTTGATTGATTGGAATTCTTAATATCCCTGCTGCATCCTCTGGCCAAAAAATATCACATATTAGCTTCTCATCCCATTCACCAGTTGTTGGATCTATAAGCTCATTAACTCTTGACAGCAAGCAGGACCTGCTAGGTGTTATTGGTTTTCTTGTGGAGCCTTTGGGTAGCCATGGATCTTCCCATATTTTTACATCAACCCCCATTCCCAATTCGCCATATAAGTCCTTCCTTCAATAGTTCAGCACCTCTCAAATACTTCTCCAAGTATACGATATTCTAGCTCGAGGAGTGCAATGGAGAATATTTGAATTTAAAAAGTATCTTGCTTTTAAAACCTGCGCACAAAGTGTATTAGGATTAGTAAGCAATCTCCACGCTTGCCTGCTCAACATTGCCAGATTAAAGAGGTGCAAATCCTGAAAACCTAGGGCACCCTTCTTCTTAGATCAGGTTAGCTTTTCCCCACTAAGCCAGTGGATTTTATTTATTTTGTCCTGTTGGCTCCACCAATATCTCCCATTAATCATACTTAGCTCATCACATAGGCCCTTTGTAAGATCAAAAGAATGACATAGTACAAGTGGGAATGGATTGTGCTACCGCCTTAATAAGAATTTCTTTGCCAGCTTTGGAGAGGAGTTTCTCCTGCCAGCCATGAATTCTGCTCCAGACCTTCTTTTTGATGTACTCAAATACTTTCTTTTTTGATTTCCCCACCGAAATCAGTAATCCTAAATAGCGTTCGCTCCTTGCTTCACACCCAATGGAGAGGTTGGATCTGACTTGACACCTAATTTGTTCATGTTAGTCGCTGAATTCTCACTTTTGGTAGTAGGAGAATTCTTACTCTCATCGAGAGAGGATGACACTAGGAGTTGGGACAATTTTCTTGTCTATTCCTTACTCAAATGTCATGCCAACCTGAGGGGTTGGGGTTACATATTTATAGGCTTCTAGCCAGCCAAGCATATGCCAAGATGCTAGTCTAAGATGCTAGTCTAAGATGCTAATATGCTGTCCTCTAGTCTAAGATGATGTCCTCTAAGATGCTGTCCTGCTGTCCTCTAGTCTAAGGTGCTGTCCTAAAAGCAGAAAAACAGCCACAAGGACCATGTGAGCAGTACAGCCCCACAAAGACCACACATGAGACTTATCCATCATTCTCCCCCTAAGTCTTGTGCGTCGTCTTGTGGAAGAGTTGAACCATCCCGGTCCTGGAGCAGAGCTCAAGGAACTTGATCCTCCCAAGGGGCTTGGTGAGCGGTGTCCGCAAGCTGGTCCTTGGTGTTGATGTAGCTCGCCTTGATGCTCCCTTCCTCCAAATGACCTCGGATGAAGTGGTACCTCACCCGGATGTGCTTGCTGCGTTCGTGGAACACGGGGTTCTTTGCCAGGGCCAGAGCGGACTTGCTATCCACCCTGAGCTCCACCGCTCTAGTGTCTCTGCCGAGGAGATCACCAAGCAGTCGAGCGAGCCAGAGCGCCTGAGTCAAAGCGGTGGAGGCCGCTATGTACTCGGCCTCGCAGCTGGACAGGGCTACCACCACCCGCTTGACCGACCGGGCGCCTAACGAGGCACTTGCCGAGGAAGAAGAGGATCCCCGTTCGTGCTCTTTGCCGGTGTCGATGTCGCCGGCGTGGTCATTGTCATTGCATTCGACGAAGTGTGCCGCCCCTGTGGCACCTCGGGTAGTAGAGGCCGTGGTCAAGAGTCCCCGCAACATAGCGGATGATCCTCTTCATGACCGGCTTTGGTGCTCCGTCGTCGGTCATTGCATGAACCGACTAATGTAGCCAACGGAGAATGCCAAGTCCGGCCGTGTGTGGGAGAGGTAGCGAAGGCTCCCCACAAGACGCCGGTACTGCGTAGCGTCCACCTCCTCCGTCATGCTGTCGCGGCTCAGCTTCAGCCTCTCCTCCATCGGAGTGAGAGCTGGGTTGCAGTCGGTGAGCCCAGCTAGCTCAACGACGCGCTTGGCGTGAAGGGCGGTCCGTCAAGTGTGATCCCGAGTCATTCGGTGCACCTCGATGCCCGGGTAGAAGGAGAGAGACCCTGTGTCACTCATCCGGAAGGTGGCCTTCATCTCTTCCTTGAATGCCGCCACCTCCGCATCCTTGGTGCCGGTGATCACCAAGTCGTCGACGAGACACCCACCAGCGAAAGCGGTTCCTCCACCGCCCCATCGGTAGATGGTCGCCTCGCGCGGGCTTTGCTCAAGCCCATCCCCTTTAGCGTGGAATCCAACTTGGCATTCCACGCTTCTGCGTCTCGCCGCAAGCCATAGAGGGCCTTTGCGCAGCGGAGCACCTTGCCCTCCTTGCCGGGATCGCAAATTCCGGGTGGTGGTGCACGAGACCTCCTCCTCCTTCAAGTCGCCGTTAAGGAACGCCGACTTGACGTCCATGTGATGAACACGCCCCTCTTGGGGCTAAGCGCAAGGAGGAGTCGCGACGGACTCTATTCGTGCCACGGGGAGCAAAGGCGTCGTCGAAGTCGACACCCTCCTGCTGCACGAAACCTTGTGCCACCAAACGAGCCTTGTGCTTGACGATGGCACCGGCTTCATCCTCTTCGACTTGAACACCCACTTAAGGGTGATCGCGCGGTGACCACGAGGAAGGTCAAGAAGCTCCTGTGTGTGGTTCTTCTCGACCGCATCCATCTCCAATCGCATCATGGCGCGCGCCATGCAGCGTGTCTCTCGACCTCGTGATACGACCAGAGGCTCGCCGCCGTCGCGACGCTAGGTGCAATCGCGCCTGTGTCGTGAGGCACCGGTCCCGACATTTACCGGTCGCCGAGAAGGTTCTCCATCGTGACGGTACCAAGAACGGCTCACCGTCGTGGTACGCGGCGTCGACACGCCTCCTCGTCGTGAGAGAGAGCGAGTAGCGAAGCTCAACCGGGTCGTGCTCGACATGAGCGGTGGTGGAGTAGACGCGTGCCGGAGTGGTGCTGTCGGTCTTTGGAGTCTGCGGGCGTTGCGGCCGTAGTGGAGCCGCGAAGAACTCATCGCAGCCGAGGTCCTAGCTGGAGAGTGTGGTGTTGTCGGAGTAGCAGGCGTCAGAGTCGGTGGAGGCTCGGGGACTGGGATAGACGCGCTTGCCGAAGAAGAGCCGCCTACTCCCCTCAGCTCCCTCGAAGTGGGACGACTCGACGGTGAAGTCGTCGACGTCGGAGCCGAGCCATCGCCCACCGCTTGTCCCACGCCCATCCTCACCCTTCGTCGAACACAACGTCGTGCGCACACGCTGTGTCTTCGGGTCGAGGATACAGTAGGCCTTCGAGCCCTCCGCGTAGCCGATGAACACTCGCGGAGTGCTCCTGTCGTTGAGCTTTGCCGATGTGGCCAAGCTCCTTGGCGAACGCGAGGCACCAAGACCCGCAAGTGGGAGACCGCCGGCTTGCG